GTACCCACTTTTTAGTTCTCATCACTTCATTTACTATCGAGCTATGTAAACTTAGCTAATGAATAACTCATTAGTTGATTTAAGTAAAATTATCATTATGATATAGTTCTAAGTATACTAAAGATTTTCATTACGTACTTTTAAAACTTAAGGAGAAACATTTTGTTTGATTTGAAGAATGTTAATGTTATGGTATTAATTCAAAATTAATTTTTTCATTATTATTTATAGATAATTGGGATATTGCAGAAAGTTCATCGAGCGAGAGTGAATCGAGCCCGAGCGACGAACCAGTAGGCCCTGGTCATTTGAGTCAAAATTAATAATTTATTCAATATAACTATTTTTAATTTTAATATTTATTATCTATAAATGATACAACAGTCCCATACCATTATAGTCACAAATTATTTATTATCGATAAATTGCTTTAAATATTTAAATTCATTTATAAATTAAATTGATTAAAAATAACATTATAATATAAAAAAAAAGTCCATATTGTAGTATAAGATTTAAAGATCTCAAATATTCAGAAACATAAAAATGTACAAAGTAAAATAGTTAATTTTGTTGTGGAACTATGTATTAAAACACAATTTAATGATTCATTTGTAATAAATATATAAATACAACATGTAAGTTCTAAAGCTAATTAAGAAAATCTTGATAAAAAGTGCAGACTAAATATTGGTTCTACCATCTCAAGCAGTGTCTAAATATCTCATAGAATCCAATTTAGTATAGTATTCCAATATGGAGTAGATAAAGAAAATGTGAGGTGTTTTATAATAATATGTACAAGTTTAAAACACATAAATGAACTTTATATAAACTGTTCCTATTTATTATTTACTTAGCTATTTTTACATGTAAAGCATTAGAAGGGACCGGTGCAATAACCAGCTAACTCAATTTTTAGTAATTATTCACGACGATCATAAGGAAATTCTTAATTTCATTTACTACTATTGGCAGAGGAAAAATGTGTTTTGTAAATAATGGTCCGATTTTACTGCTTTTTCACCAAAATGTAGATAATTTATCTATAATATAATTAGCATAAATTTAATGTTAAACTGTGTTCATATTTTTTTTTAATAGAATTTATAAGATTTGGTGTAATAGATAATGTACTAATATTTTGTATATTTCTAAATTATGGTTGACAATCACTGAAACAATTGTAATGTTAAAATAGCCTTCATTATAATAAATTATTTAAAACTTGATTTTTAAGTTGGTACTATTTATAGTTTACGTATTAAGGTACTATATCAGCTGTTTATAAAACTGCTGTACATTAATAGTGATGGGCATAATCAAATGATTAGTATTTGAGAGAATCTCTCGAAAAATTACTCGAAACTAAAATCGTCTATTATTAAAATAATAGACTATTTTTACTGATTTTGAGTATGTTCGATTACATTAATTCCATTTATAAGTTATAACCAAATTGCCGACCTCATGTAGTTGGGAGTGTAAGGCGAAGATAAAGAAGTTATAACCAAATCAAATAGGTATAAGTAAAGAAATATGCACCTACTTATAGTAAGAAATAATTTAATATATTTTTTTTATTTGTCGGTATAATACCTATTATTAATTGAATCGTAATTTAGAAGTAATAATACTTAATTATTAGTGGGTGTCTTAAATAAAATGACAAAGATGTTTTATTTTTTTTAATCGTTCAATAATTATTATTATCTTCAATTTAATTATGTACCGTAATCCATGTTAACTGACATTTTTTCGAAAATGCATAAACAAAAGTGTCAAAGAATATTATAGAGCATCCATAGAATATTATAGACCGATTTTTTTCCACTTATAAGTTATTTCATTTATTGAATATAAAAAAGTTCTATAGATTTTGTGTAATATTTAGTTACAAAAGTAGCATTCCTGAACAACTTCAAAAATGTCAGTTAACACCTTTATCCACTGACCCCTTCAATTACGAAATTAGTAATAATGTTTATCAATTGACAGACACGACAACCGACGATTCGAAACACTTCGAGTTCGCTGTTCGAGAGAAAATTCTATTATTTTACATACAATTGAAATTATTCAATTATTTTTATCATAATCGAAATATCTCGATTGTTTTCATAATCGAGATATCTCGATTATGCCCATCACTATACATAGCGTTGCAATACAATGTATTATGCAGTAGTCAGTAATGTATTAAGTGATTAATGCAGGGATAGTTGGTAACTAAGAAAAATATACCGACAGCCGGTAATATTTATATTTTTATAGTTCAGAAATTGTTTTATAATTTTTGTTGACTGAGTATACTAGTAATATATAATAATGAATTACACATTTGACGAGAAACTTCTTTATATTGAGTGTTTAGAGAACAATAGAAAATACAACTTCGCTAATCCTTTATTAGGTATGCAGAAGTTATTTTATGTAGGTAGATTAGGTAAAACGGAATGGCACAGATTTATATTATAGGTTCAAATATCATAATGTATTGTATTTTGTAATTTAGAAAATATTATTATGTCTTGCCTATCCTGTGTACAACGATGGAAATGAAGGGAACAGGGAAAAAACGGTAGTTGTCACATTATGAAAATGTTTTCAAATAGTTTTTTTCAATTTATGCCAATAATTTTTTTTTTATGTCAATAGATTGTTTAAATAAATACTTTTATTATTAGAGTAGCATTTAATGTGATTTTTTTTGTTTTAATGTAAGAGGTAGAGGAATTCACGAACTTTGTTTTTGCTATACTCTAAAACTTTCATAATGTGACAACTACCGTTTTTCCTCTCTGCCCTTCAAATAATTTTTATCACTATCTACCTTTTTCTAGGCCTTCAAAATAGAAAAACACCGGGAGTTTTCCCGGTGCGCCCCATGATAAATTAGCGATTTCAACCAAATGTTGAAATCGTGATAGACAAAAAGGGTAATTGTTGTGAAAATAAAATATACGCCGGCTTTAAGTATCACGGTTGATCTTTATTATTTACACAAAAGGTTGAAGACAAGGTATATTCATAAAAATGTCCGTGTATCCATCTACAATGGAAGTGTCCGGTTGGGCGGCGAGCGCGGCCTGTCGGACGAGTAGTGAAAGCGGGTGCGGGTGTAATTAGTACTCGGCCACCACCGAGTCGCGATGCGACCGCTTCAACGTCATAGCAAGTGGCATGCACAAAGTGCATGGACAGGTGTTCCTTGGCCTAGAGCGGTCTCAAGAAGAAGTGACCTGTCAGAAACTTGCGTCAGTTGCGACCGAGGAAGTCTTCTCTCTCGGCTCGTAGGCGATTCCAGAGGGCCGGCAGGAGCAGATCCATCGCCGATGCTTGCCTTCATCTCGAGCCTGAAACTGTCTGACGCCAAACGGTACTGCTGTAAAAGCTAAAAATCTCCGCAGAAGATGATTAAACACAATTAGTTAACGTCATAGCAAATGCCATGCACTAAGTGCATGGGACAGGTGTTCCTTGGCCTATAGCGGTCTCAAGAAGAAGTGACCTGTCAGAAACTTGCGTCAGTTGCGACCGAGGAAGTCTTCTCTCTCGTCTCGTAGGCGATTCCAGAGGGCCGGCAGGAGCAGATCCATCGCCGATGCTTGCCTTCATCTCGAGCCTGAAACTGTCTGACGCCAAACGGTACTGCTGTAAAAGCTAAAAATCTCCGCAGAAGATGATTAAACACAATTGGTTAACGTCATAGCAAATGCCATGCACTAAGTGCATGGGACAGGTGTTCCTTGGCTTCAGTGGTTCACCCCGAAGGGATCCCCTACGACTGCGGCCCGCCTAGTAGCACTGGGGGGCAGATTCTCGAATGTTTGTCGCTTTCGACGAAGATTTTGTCGCCATATTATACCAAAATCTTGTCAAATTCGATGTACATTCGAGAATCGGCGCCTTAGGTGCTAATTGCGGGCCGCAGAAGGTGTGTCTCAAGAAGAAGTGACCTGTCAGAAGGCCACTTTACGTCGGGCTCGACGCCGCTTTAGTCGCCTTTTACGACAGGCGCGGGAACCTTGGAAGTATTCTTACTCCCCTGTCCACAGGGATAAAATGAGGGCACGAGAAAGTGAGGGCGTTAAGCAGAGGTTGGACCGCTCTTGGAGACCAGGTGTAGCAGCGTTCAGGTTCAGCGGAGTAGCACTGGGGAGCAAATTTGGTCGCCATTTTAAACCGATGGCGAGAAAATTTTGTCAAATTCGATAAATATTCGAGAATCGGCGCCCTGGATAATCTACGGTGGATCACGAGTGGTGTTTGACCGGAGAAAAGTAGGTAGCGCACGCAGAACACACAGGGAGGCGAATCTTGAATAAACGTCACTTTCGGCAAAATTTGGTCACCATTTTAAACCGATGGCGAGAAAATTTTGTCGAATTCGATAAATATTCGAGAATTGGCGCCCTGGATAATCTACGGTGGATCACGAGTGGTGTTTGACCGGAGAAAAGTAGGTAGCGCACGCAGAACACACAGGGAGGCGAATCTTGAATAAACGTCACTTTCGGCAAAATTTGGTCACCATTTTAAACCGATGGCGAGAAAATATTGTCAAATTCGATAAATATTCGAGAATTGGCGCCCTGGATAATCTACGGTGGATCACGAGTGGTGTTTGACCGGAGAAAAGTAGGTAGCGCACGCAGAACACACAGGGAGGCGAATCTTGAATAAACGTCACTTTCGGCAAAATTTGGTCACCATTTTAAACCGATGGCGAGAAAATGTTGTCAAATTCGATAAATATTCGAGAATTGGCGCCCTGGATAATCTACGGTGGATCACGAGTGGTGTTTGACCGGAGAAAAGTAGGTAGCGCACGCAGAACACACAGGGAGGCGAATCTTGAATAAACGTCACTTTCGGCAAAATTTGGTCACCATTTTAAACCGATGGCGAGAAAATGTTTGTCGAAATTCGATAAATATGTCGAGAATCTGGCGGGGCCTCTAGAGAATACGATCTACCGGTGGATCACGAGTGCTGTTTGACCGGAGAAAAGTAGGTAGCGCACGCAGAACACACAGGGAGGCGAATCTTGAATAAACGTCACTTTCGGCAAAATTTGGTCACCATTTTAAACCGATGGCGAGAAAATGTTGTCAAATTCGATAAATATTCGAGAATTGGCGCCCTGAATAATCTACGGTGGATCACGAGTGGTGTTTGACCGGAGAAAAGTAGGTAGCGCACGCAGAACACACAGGGAGGCGAATCTTGAATAAACGTCACTTTCGGCAAAATTTGGTCACCATTTTAAACCGATGGCGAGAAAATGTTGTCAAATTCGATAAATATTCGAGAATTGGCGCCCTGGATAATCTACGGTGGATCACGAGTGGTGTTTGACCGGAGAAAAGTAGGTAGCGCACGCAGAACACACAGGGAGGCGAATCTTGAATAAACGTCACTTTCGGCAAAATTTGGTCACCATTTTAAACCGATGGCGAGAAAATGTTGTCAAATTCGATAAATATTCGAGAATTGGCGCCCTGGATAATCTACGGTGGATCACGAGTGGTGTTTGACCGGAGAAAAGTAGGTAGCGCACGCAGAACACACAGGGAGGCGAATCTTGAATAAACGTCACTTTCGGCAAAATTTGGTCACCATTTTAAACCGATGGCGAGAAAATGTTGTCAAATTCGATAAATATTCGAGAATTGGCGCCCTGGATAATCTACGGTGGATCACGAGTGGTGTTTGACCGGAGAAAAGTAGGTAGCGCACGCAGAACACACAGGGAGGCGAATCTTGAATAAACGTCACTTTCGGCAAAATTTGGTCACCATTTTAAACCGATGGCGAGAAAATGTTGTCAAATTCGATAAATATTCGAGAATTGGCGCCCTGGATAATCTACGGTGGATCACGAGTGGTGTTTGACCGGAGAAAAGTAGGTAGCGCACGCAGAACACACAGGGAGGCGAATCTTGAATAAACGTCACTTTCGGCAAAATTTGGTCACCATTTTAAACCGATGGCGAGAAAATGTTGTCAAATTCGATAAATATTCGAGAATTGGCGCCCTGGATAATCTACGGTGGATCACGAGTGGTGTTTGACCGGAGAAAAGTAGGTAGCGCACGCAGAACACACAGGGAGGCGAATCTTGAATAAACGTCACTTTCGGCAAAATTTGGTCACCATTTTAAACCGATGGCGAGAAAATGTTGTCAAATTCGATAAATATTCGAGAATTGGCGCCCTGGATAATCTACGGTGGATCACGAGTGGTGTTTGACCGGAGAAAAGTAGGTAGCGCACGCAGAACACACAGGGAGGCGAATCTTGAATAAACGTCACTTTCGGCAAAATTTGGTCACCATTTTAAACCGATGGCGAGAAAATGTTGTCAAATTCGATAAATATTCGAGAATTGGCGCCCTGGATAATCTACGGTGGATCACGAGTGGTGTTTGACCGGAGAAAAGTAGGTAGCGCACGCAGAACACACAGGGAGGCGAATCTTGAATAAACGTCACTTTCGGCAAAATTTGGTCACCATTTTAAACCGATGGCGAGAAAATGTTGTCGAATTCGATAAATATTCGAGAATCGGCGCCCTGGATAATCTACGGTGGATCACGAGTGCTGTTTGACCGGAGAAAAGTAGGTAGCGCACGCAGAACACACAGGGAGGCGAATCTTGAATAAACGTCACTTTCGGCAAAATTTGGTCACCATTTTAAACCGATGGCGAGAAAATGTTGTCAAATTCGATAAATATTCGAGAATTGGCGCCCTGAATAATCTACGGTGGATCACGAGTGGTGTTTGACCGGAGAAAAGTAGGTAGCGCACGCAGAACACACAGGGAGGCGAATCTTGAATAAACGTCACTTTCGGCAAAATTTGGTCACCATTTTAAACCGATGGCGAGAAAATGTTGTCAAATTCGATAAATATTCGAGAATTGGCGCCCTGGATAATCTACGGTGGATCACGAGTGGTGTTTGACCGGAGAAAAGTAGGTAGCGCACGCAGAACACACAGGGAGGCGAATCTTGAATAAACGTCACTTTCGGCAAAATTTGGTCACCATTTTAAACCGATGGCGAGAAAATGTTGTCAAATTCGATAAATATTCGAGAATTGGCGCCCTGGATAATCTACGGTGGATCACGAGTGGTGTTTGACCGGAGAAAAGTAGGTAGCGCACGCAGAACACACAGGGAGGCGAATCTTGAATAAACGTCACTTTCGGCAAAATTTGGTCACCATTTTAAACCGATGGCGAGAAAATGTTGTCAAATTCGATAAATATTCGAGAATTGGCGCCCTGGATAATCTACGGTGGATCACGAGTGGTGTTTGACCGGAGAAAAGTAGGTAGCGCACGCAGAACACACAGGGAGGCGAATCTTGAATAAACGTCACTTTCGGCAAAATTTGGTCACCATTTTAAACCGATGGCGAGAAAATGTTGTCAAATTCGATAAATATTCGAGAATTGGCGCCCTGGATAATCTACGGTGGATCACGAGTGGTGTTTGACCGGAGAAAAGTAGGTAGCGCACGCAGAACACACAGGGAGGCGAATCTTGAATAAACGTCACTTTCGGCAAAATTTGGTCACCATTTTAAACCGATGGCGAGAAAATGTTGTCAAATTCGATAAATATTCGAGAATTGGCGCCCTGGATAATCTACGGTGGATCACGAGTGGTGTTTGACCGGAGAAAAGTAGGTAGCGCACGCAGAACACACAGGGAGGCGAATCTTGAATAAACGTCACTTTCGGCAAAATTTGGTCGCCATTTTAAAACGATGACTTGACACAATCAAGTTTGATTTAGATTCTGATAGGAACAGAAGAGACAGGTCAGTTTCAAGAGAGAGATATGATAGCAGAAACAGGTCATTTTCGAGAGGCAGAGATAGTAGAAGGGATAGGGCATTCTCAAAAGACAGAGATTATAAATGATCTAGTGATAAAAATTACAATAGGGAGAACAGTTACGATAGAGGTTATAAAAATCAAAGGTATAGCAGGGAAAAAAAGGAACAAAAGTAATTAGAGATACATACCAACAGTCCGACGGCGTACCAAAAGTTACCTGGCACCTTCGAGTACATCGTTGTACACGTTGCCGCCGAACGGCGTCGGAGTTCGTTTTAAAATTCTTTTCTTTTTGTCCACCATTTTGTCGAACTTCCGCAATTCGTCCGGTCTCATGCGGTGAAGAATAGGCTTAAATATTATCCTTGCCGTATCTGTGAGTTCGTTTTCTGGGAATGCCAAAACTGCAGACAGTAGGTCGATGAACTTGGAATATTGACCAGGTTCGCGGACCTGCTGGGCTACTTCCAGGCAGGTCCCTAACAACTCCCTCTGTTGGCTCAACATTTCCGTCTTGGTCTCTTCTTTCCACACCTGTTCCTTCTGTCGCTTCTCCTCCTGCTGCTCCTCTTCTTGCCGCACCTCCTTCTGTCGCTCCTCTTCCTGTCGCACCTTCTCCTGTCGCTCCTCTTCCTGCCGCTCCTCTTCCTGCCACACCTCCTCATCCTGCCAGTCCTCCTCATCGTCTCCTTTTGCATAACACTTGTACGAGTAGTACGCCAGTACAACTAAGCCAACAGGGGCAACAACCCACAAAGGGTTAAACATCCTGTAACAATAATTAACAATAATTGTTATAACAAGTAACAATAACTGTTGTCCAGCGTTGACTAGCGACCAAAGTGGTTTGTAGAATAGTATAGTTTAATACAAATCAAAATTACATTCAAATTATAAAATATTATAACAAAATTTTTCAAAATTAAGACAATTATTACGAATATTTTTGAAAATATGTGGCACATCATTTACAGAAAATATTTGTTTATAACGTACATAAATATAAGGTTTTTCAGATGTCATACCTAACATCTTATACGCTGACTGATTGTTTGTCCCTTGATCAGACACAACCGCACATACATTTAGTGTAAAGATTGGTTTAGCACTTGGTTTCACTGGTGATAGCTTCTATAGTTCTATCACCAGTGAAGACCACCGGCAAACGGTAATGGAATTTATAAATAAGTTTTTTCACCGCGATGAAACACTGAATGCACTTAAATTGATGGATGACGTTAGAGCAATAGTGAAATTGGATGCTATCAATATTTCGGTATTGGACAATGGTAAACATTACTTCAATAACTCACATTTAATGTTATACACATTACTATTAAGCATGAACATGTTTCCTGTTTTAATAAATTTCGATCATGTCAATTAATTTACCGGTTAATTTGTATAAGCTTCGTGGTATTATTTCTAATTTAAATTATTTTGTCTATGAGTAAAAACCATTTTAGTTAATATAACATACATTTTTTGTTGCATCACACAGGCTGAACCAGTGATCCGATAAGTAATCTGAAAACAGATTTGAATTCGTCATGAAGTTTACTTATTAAGGGTCAGGGTACTTTTTTGATATCTTATTCCTACTATGTATAAAACACGTTTGAACATTATTTCAAATTTGGAAAGGGTTAAAGTTAAAAGAGTACCCTGACCAATCATAAGTAAACTCAAATGGTGAATTCAAATCTGTTTTTAGATTGCTTATCGGATCACTGGTTCGGTCTGTGCAATGGAATAATACAATGGTACGACTTACGTTTCTGTTGACTGTAAGTATTCAATCTACGTACAATATACAATTGCTATCTGCCGTTTTTCCTGAAATAATAAAGCGTGTTTCAACTAATACCATTATCAAAGCAAGACTATAATAATTGGTACGACATACCTCCACGTTTTGAGTCCTGTTTTTCAGAAATAAAACTCAGTAGACAAAAAACTTAGAATAACATACATGTATATTATTATAATAATAATACCTACTTACTATAGTAACCTTATGACGTCAAATAATTATATATTGACAAATAATGGCTAATAAATTTATAAATCTCACGTCCCTGGTACGTTGTAGATGGACGGCTGAGACCAGCCCCTCCTTCCTTAATGCATGTCTATTAAATATATTTAGTATAAAACTTTTAAATTTATTATTTAATTTTTTATTTTATAAAATTAAATTGCCTACAAAATACATAATAAAAAAACATTTCATACGATCGTCCATTTTTTACTAATAGATCGCTAAAAAGATATATTATAGAAATTGTTAAACTGGGAACAGTATAAAATAAATCATCTTCATGTTGGTAGAAATCACTTTCAAATGACGTTACACATCAAATCACCAAAAGATTCCACCAAAAATGGCAAAATATATGGAAAGACACTCCACCCAGTAATAAACTAAGAGAAATTAAAACAATAACCAAAAAAAGGCTTTCAAACGTATCACTGACGAGAAGACAGGACATAATACTTACAAGAACGCGAATTAGACACAGCCACCTTACCCACGCACACCTACTCAAGCACGAACCTCAGCCAATATGTTCTACCTGCAATAAACCAATCTCCATGAAACACATCATTATAGAATGCAACAACTACAACAACGAACGCCACATACTCAACCAGCCAAACAACATTCAAAACGCACTAAAAGAAAACAACGAAGAAAACATTCTAAAATTCATTAAATTAATTAACTTATGTAATAAACTGTAAAATTCAATATTGTACTAAAAAATGTAAATGTAAATGTAAACTAAAGGCTAATGACCTAGTAGTCGAAGCCATATTTAAATAAAAAAATAAAAAAAATCATCTTCTTTGATATAAAATATAATTACCGTAAAAAAATTAGATCCTGGTCAACCTTATTGACTTATTATTAAGACTGATTTGTATTGATATTGTCTTTGATTAATTAATTTTTTATTTATAAAAAATATATTAAACACGTTCTACTCGTTTATCAAATATATTTAAATAACCGTAGAAAACCAGTTTATCCGAATAAATGAAAAAAGTTATGTTAAATTTTTTCTCGTATAATAATGCATTTTTGGAAAAATGTGTACAAACATTCTTTGTAGACAATTTAATGATCTAACATAACGATCTGCTTTTTAGATGTTTTAGACCAAAGAGCCAGACAGACTTAGGACAGTCCGATTTTAATTCTGGTAAGGTACACGATTTCTGTTTTATGTAAAAAAAAATTGGGTTTTAAAATTGAAAAAAATTGAAAATTTAATTTATTTATTTATTTACAAGAAATTGAAATGTTTAAATGAAAATCGGCTTCCTGCATAACACATAGTTGAGAACTCGAATCTCTTCAAAAAAAATTTAATTGGACTGCATCATATTATGTAGTTGAAATTTTGTCTGGCTTTTTCGTCTAAAATAAAGCCAACATGGCTTTTACTCATAGAAAAAATTATTTGTATTAATTATAATACCTTGAAGCTTATACAAATTAACAGGTAAATTAATTGACATGGTCGAAATTTATTAAAATCTCTCTTTTTTTTTTTTTAATATTGTCTATACAAAGCTCCTTAAAAACATAAAATCCCCTTAAACAATTATTGTTTTTCAAATTTTTAATTAGCTAAAAGATTAAAAAACAAATTCATGATTTTATAAAGTTTATATAAAATGTATAACAATTTTACACATTTTTTAAATACCGTAAGATAGGGTACATTTTTTATATTTTAGTGCAAGACTTTTGTTGAGTTAGTTGTTTCTTATAAAATAAATAACACGTAAGTGCATTTTAAGAACACTAACCGGTACTACATTGTGATTTCGGATTATTCGTTTTATTGTACTTAATATAATTAGTAATAAATGATGTTTGAAATAAATAAGTATAAGCTATTAATGTTTCTATCAGCAAATTATCATACATTCAATGATCTAAAAATATACATCAATTATATTGTCGTACTAACAACAATCAAATAGAAAAATTATCACTTTATTATTTTAGCAGAGCAAACAATTATGAAATAGAAGTTAACTGCGACTTTACAAACGGTGAGATTAAGTTGTTTTCTACTTTCTAATTCAAACTGAGTAGGTATATAGAAAGTTACAAAATATAATCACTTATCCGTTATCACATATCTTGATAACCAATGAGAACGTTGCAATCGAGGTCCGCTTTGGTAACCCAACTAATGTTTTGTTAACTTAACAAATATAATTTAACAATAATAATGTTATGGTCTTATGTGTAGCTCATTTAATTTAACCGGATGTTAAATTTAAATGAAATATGAATTGTTAACTAGCAACATTGTGTTAAGACTTAAGAGTGTATTTAACAATAGTTGGTAAAACCGGCTGCGAGTTAGGAAACTCCAGTTTAGTCTAAACTTTAGTTAGAAAACTCAAACGACAATCCTTCCATTTGTAATCACGATTATATTTATACAATTGTACCTATTAAATTTCATTAGTCTCGACTCTTGGTGGTGTAGCTAGGTTGTTTATTTCGGAGAGAGTTACCCATTGGTTTACCACAATTTAAAAAGTGCTACTGAATTGTAATTAATAATTTATACTTCCTGAAAATTCAGAAAAGGTTGCAGCCTTCGGTCCACATTTAACTGCTAAATACTATATGCATTATGTACATCATTTGCTTATCTGCTCGGTTCCGCATCGGCCGCCGAGCATCACCTTGGTTTTTCAGCCCCGCCGGGCTACCCCTGTTCTCTGCAGACTCTTACCGTCTCCTCCTTTTTCGCCATCACGCGCCGCGCAAACGTCGCCTCATCGAGTCCCTTACCTAACTGAATCGCATATATGAAAGTAGAAAAAAGCAATAAAATGTCAGAATTAAAATATAAATTGTGAATGTTGGTTTAATAATACGAAAAAAAGAATCGTTCTCCTATCTTGAAAATTGGCAGTTATATTTGGTTATTGTTTAATTTATTTTCGGAACTTGGGTTTCTAAGAAAACCACCCTTTAAGATTTTGAAATGTTGCTAACTACTTATTTTACATACTTAAGAAATAAAATTTAAAGTTAACTGCCCTTTGAGCAGATGACATAATTTTTTTTTCTCAAAAATGTTTCCGGATTGCTACCACTTTTCCCAAATTGCATAAATTACCAATGTCTTTGGCCTAGTTTACACCGTTATAACTATAATAGGTACACCTTACATACACCTTACAATAGGTGCCTTACTTATAAACGTTTTATGTTTACACCATGTGTCCTAAATTTGTCTCAAGCCCATTATAATAAATTAATAACTGTTATAACTTGAAATAATATTAACAATACTATAATATTATGAACGTATTTGAATAATTGAATGTAAAAACATAATATATCACTTTTATGTTTTAAATCTTATCATAAAATTCAATTCGTAATGACGGCCTATTAGCTAAAACTGTTTACATCAGAAACGCTATTATTGTCAACGGCCATTTATTGGTGAGGAAAGCAAAGAAATATGACCTGGCCTGACAAATTATAATAATGAACTAATACATTTACACCGTTTTAACTTTTACCTCACAGAATAATGGTCAGGTAACGTGACCTACGTGTGCGGTGTTAACTAGGCCTATGACAAATTTCTTATCGATGCACAGTGGGGCAAGAGGCCTCCAAAATTGGCAAAAATATAATATAATAATAGTGCCATAATATCATATTTTGGTCGCGAGCAATAAATTAACCATGTTACTAAAATAGCGTGACCTATTTAACCGTGTTATCGCACAAACAAAAATAATATAATAAGGTATTGTTACATACTGCTAAATTGTTCGTAGTTTAAATTCAAATTTATTTTTTGCCAGTTTGGGGACCTTTTGCTCCAGTGTGCGGCAGGTCAATTATTGCCTATTAGTAGTTAGAAAAAAGAGTAAAATGGAAAAATTGATTCTTGGTAACGTATGCAATTTGGGAAAAGTGGTGTTATCCCGATATAGTTTATGATAACTACATCGTGATAATTTTCGGCATAAAGTTGATAAGCAACAACTAAAAATCAAACTTTTTTTTTTTGCTTATGCTTAATACTTTGCCTGTCATGTTATTATTTCCAAAATAATTTACAAGTTTTAATTTTTATTGCTTACTATGTCCATTAAACTATTAAATTTTTTAAAACGTTCTCAACCACTCTGTGTAATGAATAAAAGATTTTTATCTCTAGAGGTAATATTATTGTTTTCAAGTCTATAAGAATATTTTTAGTTCGACAATTATAAAATTAAAGTAGATATTTTTAAGAGGACGTTATACTCCCCATATAATACGAAGTTAGAACATTTTTTGCAAAATCTTAATTTAAAGATTAAATTGTAATGTGTAATTATTAGTTAAGTAATCAGAACTTTTTTTTGTTTGTTAATTTATTTTGCAGTCTATCTTACTCAGTCCATAGTGGTTTTAGAGCAAAAACGCCAATAATGTAATTGAAAGATACATTTTGGAAACAATGTCTTATCCGATTTTGAAAATAATTTCATACAAAACTTGATTTTAAATGGTAAAAATTAGGTTAGGTATCATAAAGGTATATGACATTGTCTCTAAAATCTTGCCATCTTTCATTTTTGACTTTTTGTCATGATTAATTTTGCTCTAAAACCATCATGGAGAGAGTAAAACGCATTCTGCTTAGGTATGTTTTAACGCTATAAAATTAGGTGTATAATGTCTTCTTAATACAACTAATTATTCAATATTATACAAATTGTATCAAAAGTTACTAAAAATAAACTATGGCTAAACTTAAAAAACAATTTTATAATACTTTAGAAGCATAAATAATTAACATTCATTAAGCTATTGTAATT